TTCCAAGAGACCCAAAACATCACTGTGACCCTCCAGTCACAGGAGGGGTTTATGGAGGTCAGGTGATTAGTGGAGTATCAGCTTAAGTCTCTCTCATGGTGGATTCAGTGGATTCCTGAACCCATCCTGTAACTACATCCCAAGTTCTAGAATGCATAATTGAAACCGACATCTTGAACGACTATGAGATTCCCTACAGTGGCTCTCTGACCTGTGGTACGAGGGATGCTATCGTGGGAAAGGCCAAGTAGAAGCCACTAGAACTTCCTCTCCCTAGGCAAACAGTAAACCTAAAGCAATACTCCAGAGATGAGGGCTCCCATCAGGGACTTGCAGGACGCAGAGCTGGTGATTCCCACCCTGTCCTCATTCGGTCTCCTATTTGGTCTCTACAGGAGACAGATGGATGTTGGATAAAGGCAGTGGATTATTACAAGCTTAAGTAGGTGGTGATTTCAAGGTCAGCTGCTGTACCAGATGTGGTTTCATTTTTGAGCCAATTAATACAACTCATGGTACTTGGCATGCAGCTATTATCTGGCAAATGTTTTTTCCTCCATCACTGTTAATGGAGGACATCAGGAAGTTTCCTTTCGGGTGGCAGCAATACCCCTTCACTGTCCTACTACAGGGGTGCATCGACCCTCCAGCCCTGTCACGATGTGGACTACAGGGACCTTGATCACCTTTCCCCACCTTTCCCTTCCACAAGGTATCACATTGTTCCAGTGCATGAATAATACTATGTTGGTTGAATATTGTGAGCAACAAGTAGAAACTACTCTAAATTTATTAGTGAAGTATTTTCACATCAGAAGGGTAAAAAATAAAGCCAACAAAATGCTGCAGGTTTTCACTTCAGTGAAATTTGTAAAGGTTACTGGTGTAGGGGCATGCTGAGATATTCCTTTTACATTGAGGGGTATTTTGTTGCATCTTTCCTTGCTACAACCAAAAAAGAAGCATATTGTTTACTGAGCTTCTTTGGACTTGAAGGTAACATAGTTCTCAGGTGAGTGTGATGCTTCAGCCCATTCACCAAGTGAACCCCGAAGTTTGGAGTGGGTTCTAGTCAGGGAAAGGCTCTGCAACAAATCGAGGCTACTGTGCAAGCTGCTTTGCCACCTGAACCATATTATCCAGCTGATCTGATGGTGCTCAAGACGTCAACTGGCAGACAGAGATGCTATGCACAGCCTTGGAAGGCTCCTCTAGGCGAATTGCAGCATAAGCCCTTGGGATGTTGATGACAAATTCTACCATCCTCCACAAATCACTAATCTCCTTTTGAAGAAAAGTTTTTGCTTCGCTACCGACTGCTGTAGAGAGTGAACAACCATGGGTCACTGAGTTACCATGCAACAGGAAGGGCTGTTACCTGATTTAGCAAACCATAAAGATGGGCATGCACAGACACATTTCATCTGTGAATGCAAGTGGTACATGTGAGATCATACCCAGGCAGGCCCTGAAGGCACAAACAAGTTACATGAAGAAGCGGCCCAATGACCATGGTGCCTACTCCAACCACAAAGCCTCCTCCCCCCAGCCTCACCTGTGGCATCATGGGGTTTCTCTGTGACCAGGTGACCAAGGAAGAGAAGACTCAAGGCTGATTAGCAGATGATTCTCCGTGATATGGAGGCACTACGCGAAGGTGGAGAGCAGAGCTTTGGCAGCCCCTTTCTGGTACATCCCTGAAGGATAGGATGAGCACTGTTGACCACAAAGATCTAGGGCTGTTATCAGAACCTAGAAAAATCCAGAGAATGAGGGAAGCTGATCACCCAATGTCTTGTGTGCCCTGGAATCATTCTGGGATTTTATCTTGAAGACAATGAGTCACTTTTCAGCAAATAAATGTCTGAGTAGACTGCTGTTTTAAGACGACCTCCACTGTGTAGGTAATGGATGGTAGGAAGATTGTATTTACAATAAACAGTGATAAAACTCCAACAGTAATCTGACCCCAAGATGATGTGGACGTGCACCTCAGTATTCTAAATAGTTTAATTGGATTTCTTATGCAACCCTTACCAAAGCCCTTTGTGGGAAATACACCAACTGTTTGTCGAGTGAGATGAGGCAGAGAGACTTGTGCCTTTATCATATTTAGGATGTTGGAAAAGGCTTTCTCTAAGTTCATATTGTCTCCGGGGTTAGACTGTGAGAAGGCACTAACATGTTAAGATCCCAGATGTGTGTGTCTGGGGAGGGACAGGTGGTTACCTGTGATGAGTTTGCTTCCCAGGGAGTAGCCCTGTTTTCTGAGGCTGGAGAAGGTACCTCAGATCTGATCATCAACAACACAAACATCAGGCAGAGATGCTGGTGTGTCATTTGGAGGAAGATAGAGACTTATCAAAGGAGAGTGTTCAGTGAAGTGTCAGTGACTGATAATGCTGTAATTTGAGAATAATGGACTTCAGCAGGTAGTGAGGACCCAGAGTAGGGGACCAGGAGGGAGGCTGATAGGACAAGACATCTCCAGTCTCCAGCAGACCTTGGATGGTGGTGAAGGACCAGGAGACCTGGGTAAGGAGGGCTCAGGGGTTTGGGTTTGTTCATGTGTGAAGCAGAAGCGAATGAGGAACTGAGGGTTGCTCCACTCTCTGCCTTGGTTGAACTGGAGGAGCCAATGGGGCCGTCACAGGACAGATGACCCCAGAAGGAGAAGGACGGACATGTTTGTAAGACAGTTAACTGACTGGTAGAGGAAGCACAGCCTCCCTCATCACTGGGTATGTGGTTTTGTTTCTCTGAAGCACTTCCTCCCTCTGACTTCCTCATTCCTATAAGTAGGGGCACCTTCTCTTCATTCCTCTCCTTTAAAAGCCTAAGTCATTTCTGCTCCCTCCACCTCTACTCCCCCTGCCTATAGCTGTGACTGTGGATTCTGCTTTCATGCTTTGGGAAAAGACCATTTATTGGAGAAAATTCACAGGTTTCAATGTAAGATATGGAGGTAACATCCATTCTTGGTCGACCTTGAGCAGACAGCATCCTCCTTCCTATTTTCGTTATCGTGGGAAAATGATAATGACCCCAACTGTCACGATTGTATGAGGATCAGCAGTTTCTCCACATGGACGGGTTTCAACCTTTGTAGCTTCAACAGACATGTGGTCAAAGAGCTCTTACGGTAGGGATGGCAAACTGGAAGTCCCTAAAACTTTCTTCAGGCCAACAATGGACATTGGGGGCAACATTCCATCCTTGTTGGAATAGCAGTTGACCCCAGGAAAGGATGCAGGAGTGCTGGTGTTTCTTCTTGGAGTCTTCACTAAGCCAAAGTGAAGGTAACGTTGAAGGTGAAATTTCATCAGTGGGTTCAGGCCTAATCTCTGTGGCATTTAGGGCATCTTTGTCCTGGTGGGAGTCCTACCTCCAATGAAAATCCTGTGTCTTGGTGCAACTTCTCAAGGTAAAAGGAATCTATAGGGAATGGAATCATTTCCCCTTGCATTTTTTTTTATTGAGGTAAAATTCATATAACAGAAAATTGACCAATAAAGTGTAGAATTCAGTGGCATTTAGTCAATTCACAATGTCATGTAGCCCCCACCTCTGTCCGGTTCCAAGACGATTCATCACCCCAAAGAAAAACCACCATCCTGTACGACATGGGATTAATTCCCTCCCTTGTTTAATGGGTTCATCTTTGGTGTGCCTGTCTAAAAAAACACTTCTCTTTTTTGACTCTATGTAGGGAGTTAGCCCTGAATGACATCTTTTATATTCTTCTTTCATTTGTTCACTGTCATGTCTGAGGATTGATATACGTTGCTCTTGACGATGTTACTGTACATTTTTCCTGCCATATAATACACCGTGGTGGACAAAAACCACATATTTGTCTTTTCAAATAGATTTATCTTTGAGTTTCATGGCTGTTATCTAATGTCGGTGCCTCTCCTACCACTGTCCTTGCGAATGCGACCTTGTGCATGTGCACACATTGTCCTCTAGGCTGTGCACTGCATGGTCACAGTTGAATATCTGTTCCTTTCAACTAGAGACTTCCAATATACTCCCCAAATTGATTGAAGTGATTTTTAACCCTGCCACTAAGGTACTGAATTTTTAAGTGAGCCTTGTACTTTGTCACATGTGATGTTGCCATTTTTCTGTCTCTTTCATCTCAGGGGAGGATTATGGATCCTCCTAGGACACCTAGGATTATGGTGTCATAACGTCATTGAAACTGTGTGGTAACTCTGGTGCAGCAACCATCATCACCTCCCCAGTGGGAGGAAACAGGTGTGTATGTGGGAGCTGTGAGTGAGATGCGCTGTAGATGGTTCAGAGTCATTTGTGAAGACAATTCCATTCATCGCTTCCTAACTGTGCATTCAGGGATGTCCTATGGGCTCCTTGAATTTGGCCATGAACATATTCACATGACAGAGATTGGTGAAGGCCACAAATAAGAGCATTTAAAAAAAATGTCTATTTCAGAATCAACATACCACTGAGTTGTCACTTCAAAAGCTGGTGTGATGATTCCAAGTGATAATATTTCATGAGAAAGTGTGTGGACAGCATCTGATAAAGAGTGAAGAGTTTGAAGAGTGCAGACAGGGTGTCAGTGCATCAGTTTTATGACATTTTCCTGGTTGGAATCTGATCTTGTCTCATTTATTCAGTTATGGGAACAGGTTTGGACCTCTGACTGAAGAGATGGAGGCTGAATAGAGAGCATCAGGGAATGTGGAAATTAGACATAAAGAAAACTGTGTTTACATGACAGTCGACCAAAGCATGAAGGTGTACAGAAGTGCGGGCCCAAAGCTGCCATGTGAAATGTAGCTTCATGTCTGAAGGTTGGAAAAGGAGGGTGTTCAGTTAAGGAAAGTCAATGCTGGAGTAGAGGACACGTACCACAGTTTAATGGTCCTCCACAGATTGCCTGAGCCATGGGTGGGGAACCTGCTGCCTTCTGATTTCAAGACAGTTCTTTTTTAAGCACCAAAGGAGGCAAGAAAAGCTTCATCTTTCTCTGTTGTACCCCTTTTAATGAAAGCATTTGTTCTGTAAAATTTGAATTCAGTCAAAAGGCTGCACTTAAGGATCAGGAAGGCCACAGGTTTCCTTAAGGCTGCAGGTTCGCCACCCTGCACGGTGTCCCTGTCCTCGGACAGTGATTCCCCCCTCTGGAAATGACCAGCAGACAGTCCAGACAGCACATGCCCTAGATTCTCTTCCAGAACCTCCTGGGATCATCAGATTGACTTCCAAGGATCGACCACTCTGAATGGTGCGTTGTTCTCTCTGGAGTTTACCTCCCAGCTGCTTCCTGGTGTCTTCTCTGGCTGTGCCAATCCTGAAACAGCAGAATCCCGAGGGCCACTAGGATCAAGCCAGCCATGCCCATGCGGATGAGATTCTCCACTGTGTAATCCTTGGGCTGTGGGGCTAGGGATTGTGGACAAAGAAATCAGAGAGGTCAGAGCAGACCAAAGTCACACAGGATCCATGGGTGTGCCCGCAGGACACCATCCTCCCTCTGTGCCAATAACTGAGAGGATCTCCTGATTCTCCACTCTTGGGGTCTGACTTGTTTTGTGAGTGGCTGATGGTCTCAGCTGCTCTGAGAATGAAAACCAAGGGAAGGGGTCAGGGGATGAAGAGACCTGAGCCCAGCCTCTCCCCTGCCTTCTATGTTCCTTCAGGTCTCATGACGTGACTTTTATGCAGTTTCTCAATAAACCCTTTCTCTGCTGGAGCAGAGTTCACTCTGGCCTCCTCTTTGAATTATTTCAGCCTTCCTGTGTTCTTTGGATCCAAACTTTGCTTCTGAGTCATTTTGGGAGAGTTTTGCTGGACTGTTAAGAGTCCAGGACCAGCAAGGAAAATGGTTCCCAATACAGAAATAACTGAGCCCTTGTGTGCTGTCTGTTCTGTCTGGGAGATAGGACCACATAAGCTAATTACCCTGGACATGTGCATTTCCACTTATCAGTGACTGAGGACCCAGGCACCGTGGATGCAGGGTTGGACCTCAGGGGCTCCTGAACGTCAGGAACACAAAGGGATGAACTTCTGGGGCTGCCTCCCCTTCATGCCACCTCAGCCAGGTCACCTGGGGACTCATCATCCCCTTAGTGTCTTGTTAATTAATACTTCATATAGTTGGGAACAACTGGAATGTGATACATACACACAGACCCGCACATACACACATATGTATTTTCTGAGGGGTGGTGTTATCACAGGCTCATCAAACAATATTTCTGCTTTTGTGAAGAATTAATCTAGGTGGGAAGGTCAATAACAATGATGTTAAAACATATTATGTCAAAAATATCAAGCATATGTGTGGATGTATCTAAATATGTGTACATGTAGACACATATTCACATATAGCTTATATAATTATACATAAACATGTAGAAAGCAATACTTTCCAAATTTACTTAATATGTAGTTACGTACTAATATGCAATTTAGAAGGAAAGAAGTAAAATTTATGTTTTCTTGTGGTTTCTATAAATTTTATCAGTATATTAGAAGAGATCAACAGAAAAATAATTGGAAGGGAGGAATTCTGTTGTCAGCCCATACGGAATAAAGTGACTATACTTGAACCAATAGCTTTCTCATACATACCTATCTCTTATTTTAAAAATGTAAAGGAATGGAAGACCTTTCTTATAAATTATTAAAGTAGTTTAACAATTCTTGGAATGTGAGTGAATGCATAAAATTATTATAAATAAAATTTCAGAAATACTTAATTTTATTCATATTACTCCATTTTAAATCTTTAGGATAGAAAGGCTTTATTAATAAGAAACCATTTTCCAAATCAAATGTATAAATTAAATCAAGTTCCAGTGAAAATGGGAGTGGAATTTCTTGTTTTTCAATCACACATCCATATCATTTAAATTAAAATTATAAATTTATATATTCAATCATTACTTTTAAAGTTTCAGAAAAAGTCAGGGGAGAGTAACAAGATGGCTGATTAGAGACATTGGTTGCCAGATCGTCCCAAATAGAGAAAGAAGTTTCAGGTGAGAAAGGACAGCCCAGGTGAAATACTAAGGGAAAAAAGCCAGAACCTGCCCTTCCTGGAGTTCCCACGGAAAGAAGTGGTGGAGCTGAAGAAGGAGAAGCAACATTTTGACAGAGACCAACTCCCGAGGGATTTGGAACCCAGCAGAAAAGGTAGGTGGGCGTGATGACCATCCTCCCTTCACACCTGTGGCAGATTGCCAGCTCCCTGTCTGTGGGACAGCCCTTCTGTCCTGACAAATGCAGAGGCTGCTGACACTGGTGAATTGAGAATTTCTGGGGGACAGAGCACTGGGCCCCAGGGCCATGTAAGGTCACTTCCCCTCACCAGGGACCCATGTTGAAATGGCAGGTGCCATATTGCTTGAACACACACCAGATGACTCTATCCAGCCAGTGGAGTCACGACCCCTCAATCTCCCTGTCCATGGATCCCACACAGACATTCCCCAATCCCTGCTCAAACTGTGACAACCACAAAGGAATAGGAGACACAGGAAAGCAGCAGTGTTCCTGGAGTCCTGACCTATGACATACATATCCTCCATCAGTGTGCCCTTGGCTTGTGATGTGAGGTTGTCTGTGTTTTCCCCAGTGGAGACACTCCCCATAATTTGGGGCCTTCCCCACCTTCCTTCCTACCCAACCCCTGCCACAATGGAAGCCATGGCTGAAAAGCTGTTACTGCTCAGAACTAGTGAGTGTTGCACAGGGAACCATTAAGCCAGGGGACTTGGGAGCAGCTACCCTGCCTCTGACAGACCACCTGTCTCACCCCGACTTCCATGGTCTTAGGGCCCACTCCCTTCTGCTAAAAAGGAGCAGCAAGCACTTATGTGTGCCACTAAGACAAAAGCTACCACCTCCTCTAAGGCAGGGTGTGGCTCTCAGTCCTCTCCCTAAGCTGCAAGCTGTCTGTCTCTTCTGCAAGGAGCCTACCATCCCAGAGGCAAGTTCCTGGCACAACCACGTCTGCCCCGCAGGAGCATTTCAGCCACAGCTCACAGCCAGTCTGCTAGCCCTATGAACAGCGGGTTGAGCTGCCTCTGCCACCTCTGCTGCAGCTGGTTCAATGTGGGAACTAGAATCTGGGTGCTTTTGGACACCGGAAGGACAGAGAACACAGTCATTGCCCAAAGTGTTTGTGTGTCCCACAGCTGCCTGCCGCTGCTAATCTCAAGAAGGGCCTCCTGTCACAGGCTCACAGTGCATCCATCCTTCTCTTGCCTGAGTGTTCTTCTGGGGCAGGAGAGCACGCCAGCCCTCAACATCACAAACAGCACCTGGACCTAGGGAGGCTTGAGAGCAAATTTGCCAGCTCAACCTTGGTCTGCTCTTCCCAGGACTCAGGCACACCATCCAGGAACCTGGGGACTGGAGATTACCCAGCCTAGTCCACCACCAGTGGCACGTGAACAGTGTCCCAGGGGTGCGAGGTTCAACCAACCCAATATGCCAGCAAAACCACGGTGGGTATCTAGCCACATACAGCAGTTACATACAGAGTTACATACAGCTGCATACAGAGTTACGTACGGTAACTCTCCATTCCTACACTGAGCAACAGAGACCATGGCAGAGAACACTTGAAACACAACAATATCTGTTTTGAGGTGAGGGAAGAGGTTTTAGATGAGAAAGAACCAGGAGAAGAACTCTGGCAACATGAAAGAGCAGGCTGTTTCTGCACCCTCGGTGGATCACACTAGCTCTCCAGCAATGGACTCCAACCAAAAAGCAATGTTTGAAGGGTTGGTTATGGAATTCAAAATATAGATCACAAATAACGTCAATGGATCAGTGAGAAAGATGAAAACCAACACAAAGATGCAACAACAACAAAAATTTAGGACAGAAATGAAAAATATACTAAAGAGATACATAGTTAAAAAATTACAGAATTTCTGGAAATAAAAGAATCATTTAGGGAAGTATAAAATACAGTGTTTTTACAACAGACTAGATGGAGCAGAAGAAAGAATTTCAGAACTTGAGAAAAGGCTTTTGAATTAACCTAGTCAGTCAACAATGAAGACAAAAGAATCAAGAAGAATGAACAAAGTTGGTGGGAATTATGGGACCATGTTAGACGAATTATAGGTATCCTTAAGGGAGAAGAAACAAAAGTGAAAATCCTGGAAAATCTACCTGAGAGAATACTGGAGGAAAACTTCCTGGGTCTAGCTAGAAATTTGTACATCCAGATACAGGAAGGTCATTGAACTCTTGGAAGATTCATTACTAATAGGACATTTCCAAGGCACATAGTCGTCAGACTGGTCAAAGTCAAAGTGAAGGAGAAAATCCTACAAGCTGCAAGATGAAAGCATCAGGCTAAATGTTAAAAATAATTTATCTTATGGAGACAGAGAATAGAATTATGTTTACCAGAAGATGGGCATGGTGGTGGGGATGGAGGGATAGTGTGAGTATGCTTAACGGGTGAAAAAACATAGTGAGATAGTTAGAATGAACAATATTTTCCATCACGACAAAGTGACTATAATCAACAATATATTAGGGTCTATCTTAAAATAACTAGAAGAGTGGAATCAGAATGTTCCAAATACTAAGAAATGATAAATGCCTGAGGTAATGGATACCCTAATTACCCAGATTTCATTGATTCATGTTGTATGCCTGTATCAAAACATCACATCTACCTAATGAAAATATACAACTATTATGGACCCATAATAATTAAAAATAAAAATTAAAGGGCATCCTAATTAGGAAAGAGAAGGTCAAACTATCTCTCTTTGTGGATGATACGGTATTTTGTCTAAAAATCAAAAGATGCCTCCAAAACACTCCTGGAATTGATAAATAAATTCAGTAAAGTTTTACATTACAAAATTAATGTACACAAATCAATAGCCTTACAATACACTAATAACATTCAAGGATAGCGTTAAATCAAAAAATCAATATGATTTATAGTAGCTGCAAAAGAAAAAAAAAACCTAGAAAACACTTAACCAAGGAGGTGGAATCTCTACAAGGAAAATTTCCAAACACTGATGAAAGAAATCATAGATGACACGCACACACAAAGGAAAAGAATTCCATACTCATGGATTGGAAGAATCAATATTGTTAAAATGTCCACACCACCCAAAGCGATTTACAGATTCAGTGCAATTCCCATCAAAATACCAACACCCTTTTTCAAAGAACTAGAGAAAAACAATCCTAAATTAATATGGAATCATAAAATAGAGCCTGAATATCCAAGGCAATGCTAACGACCAAGAACAAATCTGGAGGCATCACATTATGTGACTTCAAATTATACTACAGGGCTCTAGAAACCAAAACAGCATAGTACTGGTATAACGATAGACAGAAAGATCAGTACAGACAGAAAGATCTCTACTGGAACAGTAGAGAGAATCTAGAAAGAAAACTGTATATGTACAACCAACAGATATTTGAATAAAGCAGACAAAAGCATGGGGAAAGGACACCCTCTTCAATAAATGGTTTGGGAAAATTGGATAGCCACATGCAGAAGAATGAAACTGGATCCCTATCTCTCACCACATACAAAAATTGACTCAAGATGGATCGAAGACTTGAATGGAAGACCTGAAACCATAAAACTTCCAGAGGAAAATGTAGCAAAAACTCTTCTGAACATTGGCCTGTTCAAAGAATTTATGATTAAGACCCCAAAGGAAATATAGCAACAACAAATATAAATAAATGTGGCTTAATTAAACTAAAAAAGTATCTACACAGCAAAGGAAATAATCAACAGAGTAAATGGACAACCTACAGAATGGGAGACAATTTTCTCAAAGTATCAATCCAACAAATATCCAGAATCTGCAAAGACCTCATCCACAGAAAAGTAGGTACAATTGCAATGCATGAACAGATTTTTTTTCAAAAGAAGATACACATGTAGCCAAAAAACATGTGAAAAAACACTGACCATCACTAGCCATCAGGAAAATGCAAAAATTAAAACCACCATGTGATATCATACCACACCTGTCAGAATGGTCATGATTAAGCCAAAAAACAATAGATGGCATGGATGTG